CCATTTCCTGGATCTGGCTGGTCTCTCTGTGCATTCCTCACTGAGTTCTCAATCTCCCATGTCACAGCGCCCACCACTCTGGTAGCGGGGATTATGGTGTCAGGAACTATGGGGTCCTGATCCACTACAAACTGCCGGGACAATGCGTCAGGTTTAAGGTTTCTAGAACCAGGTCGATAGGTAAGGGTGAAGTTGAACCTGCCTTTAGTCGTTTGGCAGTTTGTATGTAGACCAGGTTCCTGTGGTCTGTCCACACAATGAATGGATGTTCAGAGCCTTCCAGCCAGTGCCTCTATTCTTCCAGCGCAAGCTTTACAGCAAGCAGCTCCCTGTTGCCAACATCATAGTTGCGCTCAGAGGTTGTCAGTCGTTGGGAAAAAAAGGCACATGGGTGAAGCTTTTGATCGGAGACTGAGCGTTGTGATAGAACAGCCCCCACACCGGTGTTGGATGCATCAACCTCAACAATAAACTGAAGAGATGCGTCAGGATTCGTAAGAACAGGGGCCGAGGTGAAACGTCTCTTCAGCTCAGAGAAGGCAGCCTCAGCCTGAGTAGTCCACGAGAAGGGGATTGCTGGGGAGGTGAGTTGGTTGAGAGGACCGGCAACACAACTGTAGTCTCTGATGAACCGGCGATAGAAATATGCAAAGCCCAAAAAACGTTGGAGCTGCTTCCTGGTGGAAGGTTTCTGTCTCTGCCTCAGGTGGTTTGTTCCACACGTCAGAGAGCAGAGAGGATAAAGTCCTGATGAAAGTGAACGCAGCGTCACCAGCTCAGCTGTCAGACTGGTGAACAGCCGGCTCCACTGAGAGCACAGACTGGTGCTACTGGAGGACGTGAGGAAACACCTACACACCTAATGTTTAATACTAAGCTGAAAATACAGTGCAGTGAAGAGACAGACTTTTTTTTGGATTATTCTTAAGTACAATTTAAAGTGTGTAAAGTAAGAATAAAACCATTAAAGTGATTCACAGTATAGCATACTTGCTACTGCAGATACTGTGCAGTACAACAGTCTGGCTTATTCCTTAAAATTGAAGCCAAAATATAAGATTATATTCCATTCAAAAACACATGAAAAACATAAATAAAAGCATAAAACAAATGAGGCTTTATCTGTGGCCAATAGTGTAAGAATCTATGTTTTTAAATTTAGATTCTTACATTTTTTATTTCAGTCCATTAATGTGAGAATTGAAACCATGTGCTCGCTATAAAAATGCAAATGAACAGGAAAAATCTGTCTCATTTTACTAATTGGCATGCTCAGTGTGTGTGTGTGTGTGTGTGTGTGTGTGTGTGTGTGTGTGTGTGTGTGTGTGTGTGTGTGTGTGTGTGTGTGTGTGTGTGTGTGTGTGTGTGTGTGTGTGTGTGTGTGTGTGTGTGTGTGTGTGTGTGTGTGTGTGTGTGTGTGTGTGTGTGTGTGTGTGTGTGTGTGTGTTGTGCATTGACCCTGGGAGCAGATGGGCTCCTGCACGCTGCACAGAGAATGGATGTGGGAGTGTGTGTCAGCGACCATCTGACACCTCCGTGCTTTATGTGAGTGTAACAAATGGAGTGAGACTCGGCCGATGGAGTTAATTATCGAGATGGTATGCAAATGCTGCTTTTCACGGTGGTGGAAAGTAACTAAGTACATTTAATCAAGTATTGTACTTAAGTATAATTTTGACGTTATTCCAGTTTATGCTACTTAATACTTCTACCTCACTGCATCCTGCTTAACTTCTGAGTCCATTAATGTCCGCTTTAGCTACATAGTATACATCATAATAAAGGATGATGTGTTTTTGGGAATAAATATATAAAGTACTTAGAATATGCTCCACCATAATTATGATTCAGTTTAACTTTATTTTGATGTTAAAACTTTTGTACTTAAGTAAGTTTGAGAAACCGGCTCGAGATACACTTTTTGTTATATTGCATGGAATGCTCTTAACATCCCGATAGCAATGAATATCTTAAGTGCTTTGACAAAAAATCCATAAAAAAATGTCATCTGTGGAAGCCGTAGTACTGTAAAAAGCACGACCAATCAATTTAGCCGGCCCGGCTAAAATAACTGGATGGCCTACCTGCCTGTCAGCCTTCCATCTGTGCACAAACTTATCTCGTGCCCTCATTGGTCATGTGCGCGTTCGTGTGTGTTGGAGGAGGGGCTCTGTAAGGAAGTGGCAGATTTTTTCCGGCTGTGTATTTTCAAATTCTAGCGATCTCGAGCCGGTTTCTCCAAAATTACCTACCCCACCTTTAAGGAACATTATACATGTAGTAATTTTCCTATAACAGAGTATTTTACTGAAGTAAAAGTTCATCATTCTTTATTTTCATATGAAAACCAGGGATTTTGCAAGCAGATGGTGGACAAAGCTTAACATACAGGTGTTAACTTTAACATACTGCAGGTGTCATCACAGTATTGTTATGAACTTAAAGCTGCATTCAGGAGAACTGGGTCTGCTGGTTTCAGTGTCTTCTGGCTCAGTGGGAGAACTTGTTTTTTCTGACTCATGACTGATCTGTTGAACGGTTCTAAATGGTGGCACAGAATAGCTGCCTTGAACATTATCTAGTTAATCCATGAAACTTCATAAAAACTCAACACTCAACATTTGATGATGGTGTAGATCTTTATTTATTAATCACCGGTAATTGTTGCAGAGCAAAAATCCTGTTACTCCTAGAATAAGGTATTATTACTATTATTTTGACTTAAGCAGATATTAATGTGGATTTTGTTGCACAGTAGGGTGTACAACTCATGTGCTGCTTATGGCTCAGTCTATAAAGAATAAATGGGTTCAGATGATGATGGATCGCACAAGATATTATTTAGGAAGTTAGGTAGATCCAAGATCCATCTAAAGAGGTAGTTCCCTATATTATTCTGAGGGAACAAGACATTCTGTTTTAGGAAAAACATCTGAACACTTGTGAAAAGAGGATGCTGTCCTGAGGGAACAAGATATTCAATTTTGCTTTAAAGATCCATAAGCTTGTACATGTCACCGGTTTGTTCTTGAAGGAGCAGGACCTGTTCTCTGTGTGACGGTGTTATGGGAACACCATCCCTACTGGTGTGTGACACACACATATTGTGGAATGAAGTGTTTCAATGGGTGTAGTCTTTGTGTTCTTCCCTGTTCATGACAGGAGGTCAGTGCATCCCTTCTGCTGTATTAACTGAATAAACCACAGAACATTAATGAAACACTACAGACCTCGAACAATAGTTCTCTCTGGGATTGTACAGCACCACAGGTTGCTGAGCGTTTATAAATCCACTTGTTAGCCTCAGTGTGTCAGGTGGAGAGAATGCTGATCTGAATAATATCGTTATGCTGACTGAAGACACGTCCATCACAGCAGATATGATTAGAGATTGAGGACATGTCCAAATGTCACACACACAAACACAAACAACACACACACACACTAGCCAAGCATGCCCACTCCCATGCACAATAGGTGTGACAATAATAAAGACAATTTAAACTTTTTGTCCTTAAAAAAAACAAAATCACTTAACATTTGTTTTTGGCAAAAAGTACCCTTCAAAGAATGAATGAATTGCATTTTGGGAAGTATAGGATCCAGAGTATTTCTCATGTCCCATACCTGAGACTAAAAGTCAGGATATCTCAGCCTGCTCTTATTTGATCCTTTTAAATCATGTCCAACTTTGCTGTAGAAACATACTAAGTTAGGGAGAACTCTGTAATTACATTTAATTCTGTCCTACTAGAAAAAGAATGACTTGTGATTATCTTCTACTCAAGTATCTACTGACTGGACAAACACCAATACTACCACGAAACATGACAGTTCCCCCATGTCGTCTTCTTATAAAATACTCAAGCACAGTGATCTTTTTTCTTCGTACTGGTGCATGAGACTATTCATTTTCATGCATCGAGGCACCTGACTCATTTGATTCTGACTTGAACACACACAGAACGATTGACGTGAAACTCTGAGGCATCACTGTAGGATGGTCCCAGACAGCGAGCATGTCACATAAACATAACAAAAGTAATTGATAAAAGATTAGATTTACAGTTTTTCATATATCAAATGGGACATTCAGTTCTCAGTTTGGTTGTTTACAGCACTGCATCTAGCTGATGGTTTCTCTGAAGTCCATAAAGAGAGAGAGAGTGTGTGTGGTATATAAGGGAGTGAAGGGCACCCAGCTGTATCAGCCAGTGATTGATTCATCTTTTCTCCCCCAGCCTCAGGTCACGTGCCACCCTTTGTTTCCCTGCAGAGAGGAGGCCAACAGAGCCCCAGCAGCTGCTGGATGGAGAGCTGCGTCTGGTTCCGCTCAGGGCAGCATCGTGCTGTCAGGACAGTTTGACGGACGAGAAGCGTTTAACTCCACAGCTTACTTTACCGTCATGTGATGGATGGGACTGTTTTATTCTGCCGGGTCTCTAGTCTCTCTTACTTAGGCTTGTAACATGAATGAAAGTGCAGAGATGCAGATCAGAAACAGAAAGGCAGCATGTGGGATCGCCTGCCTGGGTTTGGCTTTCCCAACACATTATTGTCTGTGTGTATATGAGTGGATGTTAGCATGAAGGTAGCATTTTGTTCGTTTATTCTTGATTGAAATATGGGATGTGGATTTTTTTTTTAAACGTCAGTGTATTGTTCTGTAACAGTTGAATAAATTCTTCTTTGCACTGGATTAGCTTTGTTATATCTGAACAAATATCCCTCTTTTAGAAAGCCAATATATTACACAAAGTGGAGAGTTTTTAAGACGTATGTATTTAACTGGTATGGAGTGTACTGTAGTGTTTTGTATTAGGACTGTAGGACCTTGTGTCCCAATATGAAACACAAGTCAGGAAATCTTCCAGGAAGAATGATATCAGCAACCCAAAACTCTTTCCACACTCATATGGACACCCAACTATTGTTTTAAGATTGACTCAAACAAAAAGTGTACTGAAATGTTTCCCTTGAGAATAACGACACAACACGTGCAAAAGTAATAACGTTTAATTCAAATAAAACCATGCAACAGGTCACCATTACCCTGATTAGATTCAACCTGTTATAAAATAAAACATCCAAAGCCGTACATTGCGTTCAGTGGAGTATACACAGGAAGGTCAGCCTGGAAATTGAAGAAACCAAAAACACAACAAATCGCAGCCCCTCCTCCTGCTCGGCTCAGGCCACAGTACAGTGGTGATCCTGAGCACAAGAAACTGTAGCCCCCCCCACACCCCACTGGCTGCTAATAATCAATCACAAAGCACTATGAACCATATGGCACACAGAGGACAAGTCTGAGAACATGAGTGATGAGCCAGCAGTGCTGTTGATACATACGTTGCTAAAGGTCTAGTAGCAGTTTACTCCCATGTACCGGACATGCACTGTTAAGGAAGGCCTGTGAAATTCACATCGTCGGGATTGCGGAAGCTGGGGAGTTACATACTAATGCAGCCTGGGAGGCCAAGCAAAGCATCGTGGTGGGTGCAGGATTTCGTCTCTAGGGAATCTGTTTCAGCATTCTGCAAGATGCTGAGGTACGCTGCAGAATGACCCCACATTCAACATTTTGCTGGGAGTGACATTAGTACATTTGTTTTGCTGATTCAAACCCATCACCACAACACCCATATAAGAGGGACTAACTGACACCACTTGTGAAGAGTCCAGCACACACACATTACTGGTGGACTCAATCAGGATCTGTGATATGTCATCATCTGGATGTAGAACACGCATGAAGATAAGAAAAAGAACATTAGTAAGATGTACGGTATTTTTGTTTTGTAATGTCTGCTCTGGTTTTATTTATTTTTTATTTTAATGGGCACTGGGTGCACATCCCTCTATGTCCAATGGGAGGATTCTGAGGGAGGAAGTGGGAGAGGAGTCTTGGAAACATGATGGTGGTATATTTTGAAAGTAGCACAGTATTATGCTGTGTGTTGCTGTGTGTGTCGCTGTGTGTGTGTGTCACTGTGTGTGTGTGTGTGTGTGTGTGTGTGTGTGTGTGTGTGTGTGTGTGTGTGTGTGTGTCAGTGTGTGTGTGTGTCAGTGTGTGTGTGTCAGTGTGTGTCAGTGTGTGCGCGCACGCCTCAGTTGCTAAACACCTGGCCTTCGGGCGGCTGGGAGAGCCTGTTGTTCTCTTTCATCATCATGTGCTGTCTGAGCTCCTGCAGCACTATCCGGATGTTGTGGGAGTTTTTCCATCTGCACAGTGCTGACAGCGACTTTAAGTCCACCTGAAAGAGGAGGAGGAGGAGGATAGGGTATTTTTATTATGGCCTCATTAAGGAAGCTATGGTGCCGCTAAGGTATATATTATCCAATGATCATGTTGGGAGTGAGTTTAAACTAAAACAAAATAGATTTAGAACAATTTCAGAAGCTAAAGCTCGCTCTAAACAGCCAAATTAGAAACAAAGCCAAAAAACAGGTCATATCAAAGTCCTAACTTGATGACTCCTACCCTTTTGGTCTAAAAGTAGTTTCCAAAAAACATTTTTAGAACATTTGAAACAGGCTCTAGAACCTGAGAGTAGTTTGAGACAGAGCACTCCTCTATCTGGGTAATAGGTTTCTCAGCTAGAACATGGTGATACCATTTACTTTACCCACTTGATCAGGCTGCATTGGGATGTAATGTTTGTGCGTGTTTGTGCGTGTATAGGTTGGGATAGTGAATTTAATTAGTCAATCTTTTATTTTTACCAATGTGTTTATGATGTAATAGTTTGGAGAGCACATCATTACAAACCACAATTCTTTCTAATAAATAACCTCCTTATGTTGCCCTCAAACTGCACCAGATTATTGTTTTAAAATGTATGACATTTTCAATGCCTAGGTCCTAGGGTCCAGCCAGCATAATCTCTCAAAATTCAGTATGAACACCGAGTATATTGCACGGTTCTAATTCAGTCCACAAAACACAAATAAACACTTGAAATGAATGATCACATTTGAAATGTTGACTTAATAGGTGAGAGTGTATCTATAGGGAAATGTGGATACTTACCAAACCATTTGAACTGTGTACGCAGTTCAAGTTAATCTTGTTCACAAAGCGGACATGGGGGGGGCATTCTGGGTATCTGTTTCCACATTCTATTTTCAGACTGTATATCCTGCCTTCATAGACGGTCTGCAATCAAAGAGAGACTACAGGTTAGCTCTGGGAGAGAGGTCATGGAAATGTCCACTCATCTGAGCTCCTCTGGTTTACTGTTAAACAGTGGTTAATATAACAATGACAGTGTATTACAGTTCATATAACAGTATAGTACATATCAGTAAATACAACAGTGAAAATAACAATGTCCACTCATATGTCCTTACATGCTTGTTCTAAAGCTTAACCTAATCACATCTGAATATTTACAGAATGTATTCAGATCCTTGACAGCAGTATTAGTACCGCATTGTGAAAACAGTACAATTTAGGTCCTACACTCAAAACTTGAATGCGCTAAAGGCATGCAAGTATTATCAGCAAAAGGTAAAGCTATTCATTCTGCAGTAAAATGTTCATTGTCATTGTTTTACTTTCATACATGATGTTTTTTTATATCAATATTGCTGCTGCATTAATATGTTTTTGCATTTTACTGCCGTTAAGAGTTGAACTCATTGGATATTCCTTAATACTCTTAATATATTGTTTGGTAGTTTTATCTACAGTGCAGTATGTCCTCAGGTCATGATGTGTGTAGCTGTGCTATCCTTTGAGAACCACGTATCTCTAAAGAAGTCAGTTCATGACATTTGATTTAGCCTGAGAAGTCAGCTGTGTGAACAGTAACGGCCCGTCCACACAGCGGCGTGCGTTGAAGCTTGCTCCATTCTTTGGAATATGAGGAAATGACCTGCGGTGTGTCTCTCCCAGCATACACACGATTTGATTGGCTGCATAAACGGGATTTGATTGGCTGACGCTTCCACCGAAGCTTCAAAAGTTGAACATTGCTCAACTTTTGCAGCCTGAAACGCCAGCAAAGCTCCGCTCTGCTTCCCACAATGCAGTTCAGAGAAAAGTGACGTCACCCCATTCAAAGTGAATGGGCAGAAGCTTCCAACGCCGCTGTGTGGACGGGCCGTAAGGCAGATGTTATCTATGAGTGTGTGAAGGCGGCTGCAAAGACAAAGCTGAGTGTATTGGAAATTAGACAGAGACACAGCTACAAATGCTAAAGTCACCTTAGAGACAATATTACTGCCATCAGAAGGTTGCTTGGCTCAATACTGCAAAAAGTACTACATTCTCTTAACCCTCCAGAAAGTAGGCTAAATCATGGAAGTCCCACCAAAAAAAACACAAATGTAGCTCTTAGAACATCACACATCTTCCATCACAGAGCTTCTAGTCACAAAAAGAAAGCTCCTGCTACAAATGGTGGGGTCTGTAACCACTGCCAGTCTGAATGGTGGGGTCTGTAACCACTGCCAGTCTGAATGGTGGGGTCTGTAACCACTGCCAGTCTGAATGGTGGGGTCTGTAACCACTGCCAGTCTGAATGGTGGGGTCTGTAACCACTGCCAGTCTAAAATGGTGGGGTCTGTAACCACTGCCAGTCTGAATGGTGGGGTCTGTAACCACTGCCAGTCTGAATGGTGGGGTCTGTAACCACTGCCAGTCTGAATGGTGGGGTCTGTAACCACTGCCAGTCTGAATGGTGGGGTCTGTAACCACTGCCAGTCTGAATGGTGGGGTCTGTAACCACTGCCAGTCTGAATGGTGGGGTCTGTAACCACTGCCAGTCTGAATGGTGGGGTCTGTAACCACTGCCAGTCTGAATGGTGGGGTCTGTAACCACTGCCAGTCTGAATGGTGGGGTCTGTAACCACTGCAAGACGTTTATTTCTGGGAAAGGTGGCAACCCATCCAATCTCCAACCAATGCCGTCTCATATGGCAACCAAGTACCTTTGTGTTCAGGGAAGCAGCAAGCGAGAGAGTGTTCAGTTCAGCAGGTGATATGCTACGCTGTGAAAGGGCCCGTTTGGATCCAGAGAGCAGATATGCTCATCTTCTTGAAGATGAATGCACAAAACTGAACTGTGATGGGATTTGTTTTCTTTCATCAGGCAAATGTTGATTTTAATGATGCTATTTGTTTTATGTGCAATGCCGAGATCTCATGATCCTTTATGTGTTCTCTGGTCAGTCGAATCTCAGGTTAAAAATGTATTATACTGGTGCCGTTTTCTTTTTCCATTGACAAGATGTGCTATTCACACCTGATGGTTGTTATAAATGATATTATATGTTTCTTAACAATAAACTTCAGTCATTTTCACTTCTTGTGGTTGTTGATTCATTTTGTGTTGTTTATCTGTTTAGGTCTTAAAATTGGGATGTGGGACATGATGATCATAAAAGCACAAGAAAAATATTAATAGAAACAATAGCTACTGTAAATGTAATAGACCACTTTGTCTAAAATGATATATTATATTGAGAAAATAAGTGAAGTCTGCATGGTAATCAATGCACAATTTGATAATAGTTGGAACTATAGAGCGGACATGAATCACATGACTGTGTCATAACTCTCCCTTTCAATGACACTGGTTTACTCTTGTTGAAAACTACCACTTCACTGTAGTTTAAAAAAATATAATAAACCAATGTGTTAGAGCAGCTGCTAATGTTAGGTATTCCTGATAATGATTGCATATTTTGCATACGCAGAAAAATACCTTAAAAAGGTCAAGTAAAGCTCGTCCTCAAATCCTCAGATGTTTGATCGTTAGCTGTTAGATGGTGAATTTCTTTCCGACAATGACATTTCTTTAACACTGTTTTATACGAATGCAATGCTTAAAGTCCATTGGCCATTGAATAGAAGAGCAGAGTAATGTATTGGTGCTGTAAACTCGGGGGGGGGGGGGGGGGGGTCACCTTGGCTGGGCCGATGATCATGCCGTTCCAGTGAGTTAGCGTCATGTCGTCATCATCTGCGAGGCCCCAGCTCACCGTACCGTCTCCACCTCCCTTCTGACCTTCCTCCAGTTCCTCCAGCAGACGAAAGCTGCGGGGAACTACGATGCCTTCCAAAACACAAGCATGCACACACACAAGGGCACAAAAAAGGAACATTTAATGACTTCTCTCTATTAATACAATGGGAGAAAGATTCACGCAGAAACATCATACCCTACTCGATAATTTAGCCTAACAGACGGTCCTGATTTAAAGCTAAACTATCAGAGAGAGAGTCTTAATATGTTTCACTCTCAAACAGACCAAATCTTTGAGTTTTCTGCTAAATTGCAAGAGCCGGGAAGTTGAAAGTAGTGTGTGATCTATGTTGGCACATCTGAACAGGTAGAACTTTTTTTTAACAGCTGAAAAAAGAGGTAGTAAACGATTGAAAAATCCTATTCCAAAAGTTGACTTGGGGGAGGCATCCACTAAAAGGAAGTCTGAATTGACAGTATCTATTCTGATCTAGGTCTCCCAGGGTGCGTTTCACTTCGGTTAAATGGATTCCTTGCGTCCCTCACTTGCGTCGTTTCCCTGAGACTAGTCCCTCCCACCAGGGAAGCATGGAGAGACGCAAGGAAACCACGAGAAGCAGGGAAATGAGTTTTAAGAGCAATGGGACGTCGTTTCCTCCGGAGCGTCACGTGAAGCGACGTCCGTTTGTGTTGACGCCGCACAGCTGATCGTCTGACAGCAGCCAGATCAGTGCATGCGCTGCATCGTCCAATCAGTGAGCGATACACAGTAAGGGGGCGGGGCGAGTGTCTGAGGATTTCACCGGAGGATGGTCTGGTAGTTCCTCGATTATCTCTCCTCCGTTATCGCTCCTCGATCCTCCGGCACAAATAAGGCCACTGGGACGGTACTCAAGATGGCGCAGACAAATCAACTTCCGGTGATACCGAGACAGAGGAGCGAGGAAATGAAAAATAAGAGAAGTGAAACGCACCCCCAGAGTCTATAATAATGAATACTACTAGGTTATATTTCTTAGATTGTGTGTTTTAGTGTTTCAAATGGCTGTATAATGAGCCTTATTTTTATGCAGCAGGGTTATCCTCAGACTGACAATTTGTTATAGTTTGTCAAACTTACCATTAGGCAGTGTTGGAAGAAGTACTTAGATCCTTTTCTGAACTAAAAGCACAAATACTATGGTCTTTAAGTACTCTACAAGTAAATATTTGATTTCATAATTACTCTGAAGTAAAAGTACTCATTCTGCACAATGACCCATTTCAGAATAATAGTAAGTACAGAAGTATTACCTGCTAAATGTACTTCAAGTATCAAAAGTAAAAGTAGTCATTATGCAGAATGGCTCTTTTCACAATATTTTATTATTATGGTTATTATATTATCCTGTCCTTATAAATATCAAATAATTTTAGAGTAGTGGTTGGTCAATGTGGACCGAATGAAGATACTTGAAATACTGTGTAGATTAGTAGTACATTACTGCATTGTACCATATGAGGTGGTGCAGCTAGTTTGAATGACTTTGTATACTGCAGGGTAGCTTGTGAATTTACTCCAGGTGGAACTCAAGTCTGATTTAAGACCTGATTATATTTCACTTCATTCATCAAGATCTGTAAAGTAACTAAAGGTATTAAATACATGTAGTGGACCATTAACCTCTGAATTGTATTGGAGTGAAAGAACAAAGTAACATAAAATGGAAATACTTAAGTAAAGCACAAGAACCTCAAAATTGTACTCAAATACAGAACCTGCGTAGATCCTTAACACTCTGCTTGTGGGTCAGTTTTAGTGACGAACTATTTATTCTGAACACTTCTTCCGGAAAGCTAAGTTATTTACCCATCAAGCTAGTCCCGGGCACCGCCCAGCGAACAGAGTGACGTTAACACACTGCAGCCCAGTCTAATGTGATCTGTGGAGTGCACTGAACCGACATGTAGCCTTTTCTCTGCCTGCTAGTCTCATAATTGTAAATGTAGGTGGTTGCAGAAGCCGTGTGGATCATGGACTGTTGGACAGCGCAGCTAGCTAATAAGCTAGCTAGCATCGTCAGAGACAGCGTTTTATCTCAGACAGAGTCCTGTCGCAGTAAACCTGCACTGCAGCTGGACTCTTTTTTGGAAAATCGAAACTATTAACTTATATATTATGCTGCGGGTTGTACCTCATAAGCAAAATAGATGAAAAATAGTAACTGAACTGTCGGAGAAGTCGGCTTACCTGATAAGGCGGCCGCCATCTTTGTTATAGATTCACGGAAGCGCGCACGTACGGTGGAGCGTGTCCGTCGTAGAAGTGATTCTTCTTCTTCTCTCAGCTATTGGTGGATTGCAAACAACTTTAAGGTGCATACCGCCACCTACTGTGTGTATCGTCATGTTCTCCTATCGCAACTCGTACAAGTTGTGTTTAAGTTATTTTAAATTCTTCCAATCAGCCCTTTTTCATCCAACTATTATTGAATACAACAATGAAACGCCAATGTAATGTTTCATTAAACCAAAACATGTCTGTAAAACAACATGCTGTATATGAAAAAAACATAGAAATGCACAACAAATGTAAAAGCTCTATTTGGTGGATTTGATCATTGCTGACTCTTAGTGGTAGTATCGAATAAATACACGGGCAAGCTTCACAGCACACAATAAAAGCTTCTAGTAAATGTATGTGTATAAGTATACAAATATTTTGTACTTGACCGTACCTACAGCCACATTTGAGTAAAGGCTCTCTTCTGGTTCATTGCACCTGTTAGAAGGATTAAAGCATCAAAGGATAATTCCTGTACTTTATTTAAACACTGCTGGCCTACCAAAGCTCAAAGCTCTCAACCATTGCATGTAGTATTTGTAACTGCTCCATGTTAAACACAAAATAAATACTGTACCATTTCCAGCTTTTCCAGGCCCTCTTATTGATTCATAGAGACACAACGATCACCTACAGATAAGTGAAAATCGAGACAAGGTCAAACCGATCATTTTAATCACATTATATGATTTTCATAATCCTCTAAAACGAGGTGGGAAAATACTGAATGTTCCTTCTATATCAGAGTAGCACATGATAACAGAGGCCCTACATAGCTGTGTACGTAGCCGGATGTATGACTACATGGATGACGCTCATGAGACACTGTGTTGAAGTTATGATAGCTATGTTCCTAAAATTGGCATGATGACACAGCTCCTAGAGAGATAGGCATATGATATGACTGTCATGTTTATTGCTTACGCAGGCCTTAGCTAATCTTAACTAATGTCAGAATACTGCTTTGAACCAGTATTCTTCCATCTTGTTGACTGTAACACCCTCTTATAAGCATGTCAAGGACACTACTCTGGGAACTATTTGTCCCCCGCAGCCCTGTGTGTGATGACTACTTCCATTCTTGCAAGGATAATAAATACATGTATCCTGATATTGAAGACCAAGCCGGTGACGAGTGATATTTTTTCTAACAAATAACAATAAAGGAAAATGAAGGTTAGAAATAGCCTAATAAGTGGTGTAAAATGACTAAGTACATTTACTCAAGTACTTTACTTAAGTACAAGAGTAAGAGTATTCCTTCACTCTGGTAGCCTACTTCTACTTTTACTTAAGTACAACTTCTGAGTACTTCTCCAACCTCTGAAAATGAATAAGGCTGGCCATGAAGAAGGCCCAATCCCAAACCACGCCCTACACTCTACCCCTACACACTACCCCTCCGTGACGGAGTGAACTCCGTGGAGTGACACTCACAGCTCAACGAGGCTCCCTCCTGTCTGATGGAGGGAGTAAATACAGCAGCAAGCTTTGGGACAAACTCCCCTCTCTCCGCCAGAAACAGGAAATGCCGTAACTGTATGTAACAACGGTTTCAAATCAGCATCTCTTGATTTAGACAAAAAATAAAAATGAATAACTAAAATAAAACTCCAAACATCTTTAATTGTGTTACTTTTTTGTAGAGCTCTTTTAGTTTTAAACCTGATGTTTATAAGCTTCTTAGTTTTAGCAACAGTCTGTAAATATACACAACTTTATAATAAAATGCACACATTTACCTTTTTCTAGACTAAACACAGGTATACGATTCCAAGTAAAAAAATATATGAGGTTATCATGAGGTTGTTAACATCGCAATTTATCAGTGGATGTTTGCTGGAACTACTTGTAAACAGCGTGTTTCCTGATGGACACACACAGCGTTGAGTCCGGTCAGGTAGTGATCGGGCCGTTTCTCAATGGGTGCGTCTCACTTCCGTTATTTTTATTTTCCTCGCTCCTCGGGCTCGGTATCACCGGAAGTTGATTTGTCTGCGCCATCTTGAGTAGCGTCCCAGTGGCTTTATTTATGTAACAAAATTGTTCCTCTGCATTTGACCCATCCTAGTGTTAGGAGCAGTGTGCTGCCGTGTCCGGCGCCCGGGGAGCAGTGTAGGGAACGGTGCCTTGCTCAGGGACACCTCGGTAGCACTTGGTCTTGCCGGGACTCGAACTGGTGACCTTCCAGTTGCCAAGCCAAGCCAAGTCCCTATCGACTTCGCCACCAACCCCATCAACCTGATGACAACTCTACAGTGTCTCCAACACTTTTATGGGTGAAATAGTTAAGGGTGGCCTCCAAATCTGAAACACAAAAGTAAACAGACCGTAACTGTCGACTGAGTTTCAAATGGTAATGTTCTTAAAACAATGTAGCATGAAGAATGCATGTAATTGCTTATACATATAGAAACATTCACATTGCATGGCAGCATTATTACCAAGAGCTTTGTCTTGTTTCACTTCAGAATGAACTGTTTCTCCTGTCCTGCAGGAGAGAGTTACCTGAATGGAGAAAAAATGTATATAGTTAGTGAGTTGAATCTAATCAACCTTTGTTTCATTTACATTGAAGAGGTTTACTTGGTCAAAATGCGTGCTCAAATGAACCAAACAGAGGAGTAAAATATGATGGCATTTATAAAATGTGATGATATTCATGCTGTTGTCTTCAATAATGCATACATACAATAATACAAAAAGGAAACAAGTCACCATTATTTAAACACAAAAACCATTACACAAAGAAAAACATGTCTTTATGTTTAGAGACTGAGAAAAAGAGCCCAGGTCACCCACGTCATGGGTTCATTTCAAGCATTCATCTCATAAATTCTTTCATAATTACGGATATATTTTTATTGTATTTTAAATTTAATTTAATTTGCAAATATGGATAAAAGCCAGTCTTACAATGAATAAACAAATGCCTGTTGGTCCTGAGTGCACAAAAAAACATAATTTGGAGGAATAAATAAATACGGATATGTTATCGCAAATAACCTTCGTATGAGTTCTCTTGTTATTACAGGCTACAATGCTTTCAAGTGATATAATGTATTCTCATAAATGATGTGGTAAACAGAAGGACAGAGTTAATTTAAACTTACTATTAAAGCTTATAGGACTAATGTTGTATGGAATGTGCTCTCATTTTCTGCAGAGCCTGAACTATGAAGCTTTTCTCACACACTGGGAGAGGACATGATTGAAATGATTGAAAGAACGGGTACGCCATCTGTTGGTAAAGGGGGAAAGTGTTGCATTTTAATTAAAACGTTTCCATCCCTGTCTTAACCATGGTTAACCCTTTAAAGTCTGCACCAAGAAAAAATCTATGTTTATTTTTGACAAAGGACCCCACCATCTTTTAAATATAAGCCATTGCCAAACGGTAAACGGAGATGTCGCAAAAAAAAAAGTGAATTCTTATGAATCTGCATAGATTTTTATGCATTAAACTGAAAGAGAATATATTTCTATGCATACATGACTGGTCAGTCTTCAGTCTATCAGTGTTTCCCGCGCGCCGCTTCTACGGGGCGCCAGCCAGGTACCAAAACAAAAAGGGGAAAAAAAGAAATTACATTTTTTTTAATACATTAAAATAATAATCCGTGGCCACACAGTCTCTGTGAGCGAGCGAGACAGAGAGAGCGCGAGAGAGCTAGAGAGAGCACACCTTTAACTATTTAATATAATTGTAAAAAATAAAGTAAGAAATCATTCCAATGTGTACTATAGGACAGTAAAAAAAAAAAGTTTAAAAGGGGAGTGATTAGTAATATGCATAAAGAAAAAGAAAGAATACTAACTAGGTAACATAAGATAAGAATAAACAAGTTTAAATGATTTGTTATTGTTGTGATCATATTCTAAAGATGTTTGGATTATTGAAAAGTATACAGCTCTCTTTCATTGTGTTGAGAGCTGTATCCATAAATTCATTTTGTGCTCAAAGTGCACCAGATTGATGCATTTAACTTCAACATTTAAAAACATATCTTCCCGGCGGTGCATGCCCCCGGACCCCCCTAGGATGTGAGGTCCACCCCCAAACAAAGCAGGTTAAAATAATTAAATTGCATACATTTTATTTTGATTGTTTGTTATGTGGATGTGTAGTATTTGTGTTACTGTATGTTCAATAAAGGTGATTTAGCAAAATACACCTGCAGAGCCTCAAGAGCCTTTCTTGTGCTGGCAGACACATAGAAACATATTGGCGGGGCGCACTTCGCACGCGCACACACAAAAAAATTCCACGCGCTCCGCGCTCACATTTAGCTGGGCCCGCGTGCCTTAGCACCGCTGCTATGACTCCATCCTAGGGGAAACACTGGTCTATGAACATGACTATGCATACAGCTTGAAAATGAAAACATACATTCAAAATTGAAAACATTTGCAAATGTGAAAAATGCAGAAAAACTGAAATAAAGTGCTCACTTCAGTGACAGCAGAGACACACAGAGCCTGTGGCAGGGTATTAGGACCATCACGGACTACAAACCTCCACCACAGACCTGTGACAGTGACATCTCTCTGCTGAATAACCTCAACGGCTTCTTCGCACACTTTGAAGCACAGAACAGCACACCTGCACTGAAAACAACGCCTCCACCCAACGACCAGGCTATCTCTCTGTCCCCAGGCAGTGTGAGGAGCACACTGTTAACACCCGGAAAGCTTCTGGGCCTGACAACATTCCTGGTCGTGTGCTAAAGGACTGCGCAGCTGAGCTCACAGATGTCCTCACAGACAGTCCTCGTGCTTCAAGGTAACCACCATCATACCTGTACCGAAGAAGTAATCTCCATCCAGCTTCAATGACTACCGCCCCGTAGCGCTGACTTCCACCATCATGAAGTGCTTTGAGCGGCTAGTCATGAAGCAAATCAAATCCGACCTCCCCCCCTCGCTGGACCCGTTTCAGTTTGCATATCGAGCAAAGCGGTCCACTGAGGATGCAATCTCTCTGCCCTCCA